TTCCACTCCGGTCCTCCGGCCACACCGTAAAGCCCGCCGGCACGTCCACGACGTAGCGGCATATCCAAGGTTGCCAACCCGTCGCGAAGACTGCTCATGCCGAGGCGTGGTTTTTTTTGTGGTTTTGTTTGTGTTTTTTTTTTATATTGTTGTTTTTTTTTTTTAGATTTTTTATATTTTTTTTTTTGTTATTTTTTTTTTTTTTTTTTTTTGTGTTTTTATTTGTTTCTTCTGCTTCTGCAGCGTACCCAGCCGCCCTCAATGGCCCAACTCTACTGCCTGCTCAGCATCTCCAAAGCCAGTCCGTCTTCGACGGTAGCCCCCGTCTCTGCCTCCGAACCCCCGCCGCCGCACAACGATCATTGGTCCGACGTCCAGCTCTCCGGCAAATACAGTCCCTTGTCCACCAAGCCCGTCCCAGCGGGCTCACGTAGGCCATACAGCCAGCCTGGCAATTGGCCACCTTGCCATCTGCCGCAGTACTGCCGGGCCACTCCCGCCGACTTCCTCCCCTGCTTGGGAAAGTCGCTGCCGTCCAGCACCCACACCGCCTCAGGATGCTCCAGCCGGGTTCCCAGGTACTCCTGCAGCCGCCCTATAACCGCCTCGTAGTCCCAGGGAGAGTCGGTGAGAAACCGCTGCATCCCCCGGGCGGACTCGGGAACCGTCTCCGATAGATTCTCGGCGTTGCGCCGCTCCCCGGACTGCACCAGCAGGGCTTGCAGATAATGGCCGCTGCGCTCCCGGGTCTCCCTCCGGCCAAACAGCCCAGCGAAGTAAGCGTGAAATTCCTGAAAGTCCTGATATACCTGCTCGAAAGCCGCTGCATCCACTTCCCTGCCTCACTTACCCAAGCCTTCCCCAACCTCGGAGTGATCTTATCACGCCAACTGTCGTTGTAATACTCGCAGCCCGTTCCGAGAAACCAGGTTGGTGACCCGTTGTGTAAGATGGAGCGGAGCATCAGACGAGCGGACGCGGTACTGAAGCAAGACTTACCTTCCCCTACGATCCGACCAGCAGTTGCTGCTGCCCGCGGCGCTCCAGGAGTGGATGCTGCCGCACCGGACCACCTGGCCTACTACATCTCCGACGTGGTGGGCCAGTTGGATATTTCCGCCATCACCACCCGGTACCAGGGAGAAGAGCGGGTCTAGCCTCCCTACCATCCCAGGATGCTGGTGTTGGTGTCGTCAAAAACCGGCCTGACTATTCCCGCGCCGGCGCCGTTTGCGGTGTGGCAACTAACCACCTTGACCCCTCAGCCCCTGGGCGTTCATCCAGAGCCGAAGCGCTTCCTCAACGATCTGAGAAAGGCGTTTGTTGGTGAGCGTGGTAGCCATCTGCACATCTCTACGCAGGTCATCCGGTATGTGGGCGGTGAGTCGAGTCTTCCCCTTTACATCTGCGGTTGCCGACACTACTCCATAGGCCGCCCGCTGCTTGTGTACTTCCATTCCCTTTCTGGCGGCGATGACATTCAGGGTTTCCAGGTCAATAGCTTCAAGTTCCGGCGGGATGGCTTGCTCCGGAATCTGGCCCAACTCCGGGATGTCGAGTTCGGCAGTTCAGTAATGTTGAGCCTGGTTTTCTTCTCAGGCAAAGGAGGCCTCCTTGACTTTTGACTCGTGGCGATTGTCTCCAGGCAGTTCCAAGCTCTTTGCAATCCAATCCCAAAGTTGTTGCATCTCAGCGGCAGCGGGACTTCGGGGCGCGTATTCGCATACTCCCAGGCCAGACTTCGGAGGCGTCCCAGTATGACACCCGTCGTATGAGTCCCACCGGCGCTACTTCCACGCCCATTTGCTGAAGGACCTCCAGCTTCTGAAGTGTCCGTGTTTTGGACGAAGACAGGTTGTTGGGCAGGAGCGCCATATTCCAGCCCTTATCGATGCCATGCCGTACCAGGTTGGCGGTAACCAGGATGTCGTAGGGGGCTGTGGTCACCGGCAGAAGCAGCAGGTCGATGTTGGACAGGGCGTGGTCCAAGGTGAAGGAGTCCGCTCCGGGCAGGTCGCAGACCAGCAGGTCACATCCCTCCGCGTTAATGGCAGCGTGAAGCGCGGCTATCCCGTCTACGGAGAGAGAACCGCGGACTCCCTTTATTGGGGGCACGTCGGGTTGGCGGTGGCCCTTAGTTGACAATGCCTGAGGGCAATGAACTGGGGGTCAAAGTCGCATAAGGTCGTGTTCAGGCCAGCGGCTCCTGCTCTTTCGGCCAAGTTGCAGGCCAGCGTGGTTTTACCGGTTCCACCTTTCCAGGATACGAGACAGATGGATTTCATTGCGCCTCCATTATCCAGCACTCACGACCACGCGTCTACGTAACGCCCGCGTCCTGGTGAACCTACGAATTTCGCGTATTACGTACAAGCAAGTTAGCACAGTGACGAAAATTTATGCGAAGGCACCCCGCAGCTGATTTTGGCCATTTAGCCGAAAAACCTGGGCAGGCGTCTGTTAACCGCAGAATTTTTTCAGCAAGCATCATTCCCTCCGGCCCACCTGGTCCGTGCTTGAACAGGTCGTGGGAAACCTGTTGCTGGAGTCAGTGATGGCGATGTGCCCATTTAGCTCCGGCGGGTGCAGCAACCGAGGAACTGCGTTGATCTTGTTGGATTGCTCTCCGGGCTTGAGCTGGCCCATGGTGTTGGGAGGAGCGAGGCGTTCCCAAAGGACGGCTGGCTCGTTCTCCTGCACCGCTTTCCTCATGACAGCTCGCTGGCTTGTAGACAAGTTCTCTCCCGCCTGAGAGCGACGGGCCTGGCACTCTATTTGGTGTCGTAACTACGTGTGCATGCGAAGTCGCATCCCTGTGAGGTCTCATAGTTACGTTCTGGCGGGTTTATAAGCGAACCTTCTTAACGGGACGGCACTGCAGACCCATCACCAATCTACCCTGTTCGGTACCATAACTACATGTCTACGTGCAGTCGTGTCCGTGTGAATATATGGAGTTACGGGCCTACGTACCGGTAATTAACCCAGCGAGAATGCTTTATGAGAAGTCACCGCGGCGCCTCCATTCACACCCGTCCCTGGTATTACAACAAGGAAATGCAGCAGTGGCCTGGATGGCCATTTGGACGTCATGGGTTAGCGCCGCTGCCTGCTTTTGAGGCTTGGCGATGGTTCTGGAGAGCCCAGCCATGACACGACGGACACCCTCGTTGTCGGTGGGGTCTGTGTGCCCTGAGTCCCGGTGTATGGCTGCGAGCGCAGCTCGGGCCATCCGGGACCGTGGCGATGGAGGTGCCGGCATCGGCCCGGTCCACCAGGAAGTTGGCCACGGCCGCGGGAGCAGCTGGAATCTCCTCGAGGTCTCTGTCCCGCGCCCAAGCGGACCAAAGCTTCCACTGGCTGGCGTAACACCGCCTGGTGGAGGATACCCTGGAGTTGGCCATGGCAGCCTGAAGCCGGTCACGGTCGATCTGGGCGGGGAAGTCCGCTGTTGGGATGACGGGGAGGGCTGGGGAAGGGGTGGTCATGGTTAGGTTCACCGATGTCCTATAATTCCCGTTATAGGAAACGTTGCCCTGTGGTCTGCACGGTGGTTTTGCTGCTTTATCCTGCTAGGTCTTCGAGGGTAGTTTGTTGTCCCTCGGGTTGGCGTACCCGGGGGCAGCCTGGTAGGCGGACTGGCGGTGCGGTAGCTCGAAGCCATGATTATCGAGTAACTGGTTGATGGTCCTGATCTGGATCTTTGGGTAGTTCGCTTGCCATATTTCTGAGTGGTAGAAGCCGCCTGACACTTCTTCTTGTCGCATGTTGCGGGTTGGTTCCTGTAGTGTTATCAGGAGGCCTATAGCCGCTTTCTCTCGGTCCAAGACACCCTTCAAATCACGGACATCTTTTGCTTCTGTTCCTCCGCCTTTTACTTGGATCACCACTTTTTGTGGTGTGCGGCGGGGACCATCAATGAAGTAAAACATTCCGTCGATTCCTCCGTCGGGTCCTCGTTGTTGCTGGTCCCTCAGCTGTGCTTCCAGCAGGGATACGGCCCAGAACTGGAACTGGTATGGGTCTTGGTCGAACAATGCTTGGGCGCTTCCCACATCTTGGGGTTCGCCCGTTACCCTGTAATCTGTGCCGGCATCCAGGTTGAACATGGTCTTCAGGCGGTTTTTCATCGCAAACAACGACCCGAACTCCCAGGGCGGATTCCTGGGCGACAACTGGGACGACGCCCGCGACGAGGACTGGTTCGGAGTCGACCTCACGGCGGGCTACGAGTACACCGTGAGCCTGTGGACGCCGACATCAATCGACGTCGAGCACCAGGCGACCCAGCTCAAAATCCTGGGCCTGCACGACCACGCAGGAACGTTCATCGCCGGCACCGCGAGTTCCGACGCCGGCGTCAGCGTGACCTTCCAGATTGGCAGCACGGGTCGTTACTACATCGCCGTGGGCTCCCAGGGCGACGACCAGACCGGGGTGTACTCCGTCAGCGTCGCAGCCCGCCGACTCATCGAATAGCAGAGCAGGCACCCGTCAGGAATGGGCTTTTCGCAGCCACGCGGCGGCCGCACCGATCGGCGCCTGTTGCCACGTGCTTATGGTCTGCGGCCCAAGTCTCCCACGATCTTTGAAACCCAATCTAAGGCCTCTGGGTAGTGCTGTAGTTCCAGGACGAACTCCTGGCCCGGCCCGCGCCGCTGAACGTAGGCATACCGTGTATCGCGGCGCCAGAGGCGGTGAGGATGGTAGGTAAGGGGCACCTTCGGCGGTTCGGGATAGAACCAGAGGGGAAGCCGCCAACGCGATGGGTCGGCGCCCGGCTCGGTGAGCACCAGATGCTCATCGAGGTACTCGAAGACCCCGTATCCGCGCCTCGTGGCGGTGGAGTTCGAAATCAACTCGTCCCCGGCCACATACCACCCGCCCTGCCAATCCTCTCCGTCTTCCCGGAGAACTGCTCCCACCTGCAACCAACCGAACAGCACATGCTGCTGGGGCGCTCGAGGGACAAATTGCCACCGTCCTGAAACCTCTTCGACGCGCCGGAATAGCCCAAAGAACAGGAAAATATCGTCCTTATCGACGCCTTGCTTGCGTAGATGCCCCTCTTGCGCACCCCCCGCCCCCACCAGCCCGGGCTGCTCATCAAAGGTGCTCTGCACCGGGTCCCTGATATCGGGCGAGACGTAGGTGAAATCGTCCCTGGTCCAGCGAGGAGGTTGACCCCGGGTACTGGTGAGGTCCTCCACAACTTTGCCGATGTTGACCTGAGTGCCGCCAACCTGGTGGTTGAGGTCGCCGTAGGTCACGATGATGCTCTCATCTTCCCCTGGGACCGGCAGGGAATAAATGCTTCCGTCAGGGAAGATCGGACTGGGTACACCGCCGTAAGGCCTCTAGAAACCGGAGCCGAAAAGCCCTGGTTGGGGAGATGGATTTCGGGCAGCAAAGCCCCTTGATCAGAACAACGGTCCAAATATTCCGAGCCCGGACCGCGCCGAAAATGGCCGTAGCATTGTCGACAACACGCGTGGAAACAGCCTGGACATCACTGACGGCACTGAGGACGACGCGTGGCTCCGCTCGCCGCCGACACTGTCCGACCGAGCGATTTTTGGGTCCCGCCACGACCAGGTACAGGTTGGTCCACGGTAGCCGCCAGATACCGCTGGAATCTCGTCTTGGCGCGCCCGAAGTAGCGGGACTGGCGGATTCCCAGTTGGACCAGCCGCGCCAACCGGTGCTCCACCACCACCCGGCGCTGCCGGTACTCGCCAAAGGCCTCACTCTGCTGCAGGGCCCGGGCCTGCTGCAATAAAGCCTCCTGCGGGTGCAGTTGCACCGTCCGTCCTGTGCCCGTGCCGCGGCCACGCACTGGGTCCGCAGCGGGCACACCCCGCAGACCGCTCCATCGAACTGGAAGGCCTTCAGTTGGTGCGTCCGGCCTGTTGCTGCGGTGCGAGTACCCAAGGGCCGGATTCTCCGGGTAACGTTCCCCGCCGGACAGGTGCAGGTGCCCGCCTCCAGGTCGATATGGAAGTCCTCTTTCGGAAAGTGTTTCCGTTTGGGCGGCCCGGCACCCTGGCAATCAGGTGCGGCCCGCATCGGCGAAGGCTGCCTGGTATCGCCGTCTCCGTAGGCGGCATCGCCCATGGCCTCCTCCACCGGCACACCGGTGTTGGACTCGCTCTGCTCCACCAGTTCCAGCGCCCCCAGTTGTCCGGAGCGTTGCCGGGCAGTACCTCCACGGCGGTGATCAGCTGGTGTCGGTGTCCACCACAATCGCCGCCTTGTGCCCGTCGAAGCGTCTAGCTGCTGCTCTTGTGGCCGTGGCGCATCTCCGGGTCATGCACCGACATCATCCGGTCCCGGCTCACCCCCGTCCTTGAGGCTCACTCCGTCATCAGTCGCGCTCCACGTGCCCATGCCTGGAGCAGCAACTGCCCCAGCACTCCGCCGCCGCCACTATCTGCTGACGCTCACGCTATTCTCGGACAACTCCCCCTGCGCCTGCCGCGACAACTCCAGCAGCCGGTCCGCGTCTCTCACATCCCGGCCAGCAGGCTGCCGCGCCCGTTTGTCGCTCCAGTCGATGGCCGGCCTCTCGCCCTTGATACTGAGGCAAGGTACCGCCCATATCCCTGGGGCCTTGGCCCCTTCTTTGACGGTGATCTCTCTCCACTGCTGCCAGCGCCCGCATCAGTTGACGATCCCGTCGGCCAACAGATTGTAAGTGTCCCTCACCGCGCCCCCGCCCCAGGATGTTGGTCGTGTCCAGCGCACCTCATGCTCCGCTTTTTCAGGTAGCGCCCGACTCCCCGGGCGAGCCGCAGGCTGACTCGAACACTCCCGCACCTGTCGTGCAGGATCAGCTGGTGCGCGGACACCTGCAGCGTGCTCTGGCAAGGGCCTGTCCTCCACCTCAATCCCCAGGGCCACCTTCCAGCGTAGGTCGAAGTCGGCCCGGGCCTTGGCCTCGGCGTCGCTCACCTTGTCGTGAGTACTGGAGCATCAGCGCCGTCGCCAGCCAGGCTGGCGCACCACGTCCCGGCCGTTGTCGCGCAATAGAACCCGCCGAAAAATCGGCGTCCCGGAACACCGACGCCCCGCATTGATGCCAGCATACCGTAGAATGTGTCCCTCCCCACGTGGTCAGATACACCCGCCCGCTTCCCCAGAGACCCCTCTGTCCGAACGCTCTCCCAGCATTCTCACTCCCAGCTACTCATGTTGACCCAAATATAGATAAGCCGCTGTCCGGCCGCTGGCGCACTTCCGGCTCAGCTTTCATGGGTCCTGTATCTAAAGTGC